TCAATACACAATAAACTGTGGAGTGAACAATCATTTCTGAGATTAGGGCAGGGGTTATGCTTTTTATTTTTATGATGGGCTTTTTGAAGGCTGCAAGGTGGGTCAGTAACACAGGGTTGTCTCTAAGGGGAGCATAGGGCTGACCTTAAAAGGACCTTTTTAACAGCTTGTGGCTGATTTTAGTAAATCAGGTTTATTCAGCCAATCGGAGGCTTAACTGATTTTTAAAAAACTTTTAATTGTACCAATTAGTTTTTGCCTTTTGCTACTGAATTTTGGCAGTGCAATCCAAGGGAGGGATTAGGTGTAGACGAGGTAGTTTGCATTGACACTCTGGTTAATTGGAACATAAGAAGCAGCCTTCTCCCAAGTCAGACTATTAGTCCATCGTACCCATTATTAGTTACTCTGCTGGCTGCAGCTTTTTACAATCTGAAGCAGAGGTCATTCACATAATAGCCTACCTGGTTTTTAATGAGATGGCCAAGAAGACCTTCTGCCCGCAAGCCATGTGTGTTACTGTTAAGCTCCAGTCCCTCCTCGCTTCTTCTTGCTGCCTCCAATTTCATTTCAGACAATACCTTATAAAGAGCTCAGGTTGCTGGCAGTGGTCTTTAACAGTGCTCCCAGATCTTGGCTGCAAAATCCAGGATGACTGCTAGTTAGCAGCAGAGAGTTTTGAGTTTTCCATATCCCTTTGATGTGATTTAGGGGTTGTCTTGAACCTTGAAGCTCAGGTCTGGTAGCTATAGTCTTAATAAAAAACAGAGCATGGAAGTGGTAGAAATTGTGTGCCAGACTGAGGACCTTTTAAAATTAGAACTCTCCATCATGACGAGAACAGTGAGGCTACAGAATTCCTGGATGCCTAGTTAACTGTATATAGAAATTTGACTCTGGTGGCCATGAATTTCCTCTTAGGCAAGGGCTATTATGTAGATATTTGGTTGTCCTGTGTAACTAGGATGCTACAACAGTTTTTACTGTAGGAGTGGATGGATTCTGATGGATTTTTTAGAAGATGTATGTTGGGTATTTTACATGTTGTAGGAAGGGAGTTCCACTGATCCTGTGATGGAATGAAATGAAAATTTACAGAGGAGTGTCCCCAAAGCTCTTCTTGCTTTCATCCTGAATTGCTATGAGCTTTTCTCCCCTCCCCATATCTGGAGAGCTTGGATTGTTGACCCAAAACACGGACTTTAGAAACCTTTTCTGTCCTTTTTTCTACAAATTCTTCAAAACATCCTTGCCAGTTAGGTAGCAGCGAAATGAATAGCTGGAAGAGGAGGATTGTAAAGAAGAATCCTCCCCCCCTTTCTTCTTCACACAGTCTGATAAATATTAGAAGGTACAATTCAGTGGCTGTTGATAGAGGAATTCTGCCTAGAACTGCTGCATTTGTAGCAGCTATAAGAAGAATGGCTTGTCCTGGCAATGCTGGGATTCTGTCCCTAATAAATAGCCTTTCCAGAAATAATGCCATAGTAACATGCCAATATACGGGAGCTGAAACAAGTTGGATTGTGACTGTCTTCGCTCGTGATCAATGCAATAGAGAAAAACATTGCAGATGCGCCTACTGTATCTTCCACAGTTTTTTTCTGTGCAACATCCTAATTTTCAGAATAATGATGTCTCAGCATGGGGTAGAATCTGGCTGACCTTTCTAGGCTTGGAAGTTAAGTAGGATTCAGCTTGCTTAGTACTTGGATGGGGTGCCTCTGAGGAATTCCAGGAAAATTCCAGTTAAATGCTGGAATGGAAAACTGAAAAACATCCTTGAAGGTACACTCCTTCCATATTGTTGCCAGAAAAAAAAAAAAAGAAACCCTATGTGGATATACATATTCATAAAGCCACCAGGGGTCAAGCTTGAACCAAAGGAAACATTAAGATGGTCATCCTATCTCACGCAGAATACGTTTGTATGGATAGTAAGTATCATGCTCAGCTTCAGAGTCTTGTTATGGTGAATGCAACCGCAGAAGATAATAGTGCTGACAATTTAACAGGTAGTCCTCATTTAGCAACCACGATTGGGGCCGGCAACTTGGTCATTAAGTGAATTGGTTGCTAAGTGAAACCATGCCTGTGCTTATTTATCTTACTTCAGCTTTCCTGTGAAGGTCGTAAATATGAGGATTGGTCCTAAAGTTACTTATTCATCACCGCTGTAACTGCAAATGGTTGCTAAATGAGGCAGTCACTAAACAAGGACTATCTGTACTAGGGATTATCAGTCTTCCCTGACTTGGCACCCTCCTAGTGTGTGGGGACAGTAAATCACAACAGAGTTGGGAAGGGCCAGATTACATAAATAATTTCTCCCGCGGGGTAAATGTAGACTTGTCTGAAACCCCTGATGCTCTCGGAATTACACACTGTATGGCTCTAGCAGAGAAAATTCAGAGAAATTCACTGAGTTATTGAACTTTCCTACATGAGTTGCTTACGGTTACCTGATAAATATCTTAGGTTGGTAGTCAGCGCTGGTGTTGTCTCCATCACAAGATACTCACCAGTGCAATGACCCATGGACGAGAGTGCAGCACAGCAGTATTATTGTAGTTCAGCCTCTGTTCACAATTGCCATATTTTACATCTCCAGCTATAGGGCTTGAGTCATAGAGCATCCTGAATTGAAAGCCTGGGTTAATAGAACATAATTACTGTGTTGACATAGCATGCTATGGCCAAGCAAAAGGAATTGTATTATGACTTACAACTGAGTTCACACACTATGTTGATACGATGGGTGACCCAACAATATGCTGAATCACAGACTATCCAATCCCATTTTCACATAGTCTAATGTGTTGTGCAGATCCAACTGATGAGAAGGCTGAGACATGAAAAACAAATGCACAGAGCTTTCTAGCTTCACTTCATGAAGTTCTGCACAGCATGTGCTTTCCTTAAAGTTCTGGCCAATTATCTTAAATGGATTTAACCAGCTGTAGGAAAGAGCAGAGTTTTTTCTTCTTCTCCAACAACTGTAGTAAGCATTTGTATGGTAGCACTCATGATGCCCCATCATGTGCTCCATAGTGACATGGGGGAAGAACACCCTGCTGAAAAAGATAATATGCAGATGGAAAAAGAAATGATTTGACTCTTCAGGATGGTCAGGATGAATAGTCAATTCCGGGGCATGGCTGGCACAACAGAAAAGGACAAAATGGATGTAGAAATTAGAGTGAGAGGTCAAAAAATGGTACAGGTTTTTTTGTACTATGCAAAATGGTTCAGGACCACCCAGTGGTCAAGGTGAGCAGATAAGAAACTGAATCTGGAAGACAAGGACTTAAGAAACAAATACTTACTTGGGCATGATTTTGCAAACTGTGTTTGTGCTAAGCCAGAGATGGACTATCAAGGCTCTTCAACACCCCTTTTGTAGCCCCAAAACACCCTCAGCATATGTCATGCCAACATTTTGGTGAGTGTGTCATGAATTTGGGTAGTATTTTAGAGGACAAATTGGTGCCTTAACACTTGTAGAGGATCAAGGCTGTCACTTCACACGGAGACCCCGACAAAATCTTACCCCCCATGGGCTGATTTTTCCCATCAGGGAAAGTTAATGGGCAAAACTCTTAAACATTCCCCTAACTTCACCCCAAAACAGACTGAACAATTTGGCTCTGGTCATTCCAGATCAGGCCATCACAGGCTGTTATAGCCCCTGTGGTCCTTGGAAGCCAAAAGAATTGAAAAGTAGCCAGCCTCTAATTGCAACAAAGTCACTTACTCCTGCACACAATGGTTTTCAAGCTACAATGGCTGAGTTCACCTAGGATGGTATACCAAAATCAAACTAACCATGTTGTGGCTTAGCATGATGGGTGTACCCAGCCTGGGATAGCTTTAAGCCCAGCAGAACTTATTTCCTCATAGCTGGGTGCGCATAGAATGCAGCCCGCTTACTAGACAGTATATCCTACTGCAATTCACATTGCTTTCATAAGATCATTCAGTAAATATATGCTCAGAGTGGGAATGTCTCTTGGATCAGTAGTCCCATTAATGCGCAGCTTACCAGGGGTCTCACGCTGAAAAGGGAGCGTTTTTTTCCTCTCTGTGATAAAATAGTGCCGTTTTTGGAAAGTATGTTCGTGATAACTGGGGAGTACTGCTTGATCAGTAGCAGCTGCACGGGTTTAGTGCGGGGCAATGCGAGTTGCCTGCCAGTCTGCTTTGTCTAAAGAATTGGGCACTACCCTCTGCTCTCCAGCTTGGCTAGAAGAAGACTGGAATATTTCACTTCCTCTTTTATTTTAAATTAACAGCATTTTTTTACTAACCCCTAATTAATTGAAATTAAACTTAACTCTATTTTTTTGTTACACAAGCCAATCCATGAAGCTGGCTTGTTATGACATTGCCAGTGCTAGACAAGGAATAGGAAGGTTGTGGGGGATGGGACTGGGGGGCTGGGGAGAGACCTTGACAGTAGTTTCTCAACCTCAGCAACTTGATGTGTGGACTTCAGCTCCCAGAATTCCCCAGTCAGCAGGCTGTCTGGGGAATTCTGGGAGTTGAAGTCCACACCTCTTGAAGTTGCTCGGGTTGAGAAACACTGGTTCAGATGAAAGCCTCATTGGGCCAGGATTCCCTTACGTGGTAGCACTGAGATACTCCTGGGATGGTCACCAAATTGCACATTTGCATTAAGCTTTTTGATACCTGGTAATGCAGAATGTATTGATATAGTTGTGAAATCAGTTGGATGCATCCATTTTTTAATGCAAATCTCTCCACAAAGTTTGAAGTGAGTGTCTTCTCATCACTTCCATCCTTTCTTCCAGTTTGGATTGATTTGCCTCTTTCTTCCCACCAGCATTAATATTGTTCCAAACAGCAGAGGCAATGAAGACATACAATAACTTAATGAGAGATCATTCCACCTGTAATTGACTTTAGAAAATTAATATTTTAACTTATTCATTCAAATTGTGGAAAGAACAGTGTTCACTTTGTCTTTTCTTTAACTCCAGGCATTCTGTTGGTGTGGAAATCGCAGCTCTTGAAGGTGGATTGATCACGTGGGTCTGTAGGTAGTGAGCAAGAAATATACCATGCCCGTCTTATCTGAAGATTCAGGTATTAGAATTTCTGCTACCTTAAACATGTTACCACCCTTGGTTTATGTTTTAGAAAATGTGCTCTTCTAGAACCATCTTATGTGAAATAGGAGGCCCAGAAGCTTCTAATGACAAGCCAGTTTTTAAGTGTTATATATTTACTGATTTGAATCCATGGGATGGTTTAAAATAAGCTGATAATTAAGAATGAAACCAAACATAGCAACAAAAGGAAACCTAACCTCAGTAAACCTATATAAAATGTGCAAAAAAGAAAAAAAGGAAAAAGCAGTTTTTGGCCATTTCTTCTCCAGTTTATAAGTCAGCCTTCCCTGATTTAGTGGCCCTGAGGTGTGGCCAGTACAACTACCAGAATTCCCACTGCACATTTGGGAGATGTAATCCCAGGTCACCCAGAATACACCAGGTTAGAAGGGGTTGCTCTAGCCTGGAGGCGGGTGTAGTAATTGGCAATGTGGCGTTGCAGGTACAGCCACACCTACAATGCCACTAAATCAGTGTTTTTCAACCTTGGCAACTTTAAGAAGTGTGGACTTCATGCTGGCTGGGGAATTCTGGGAGTTGAAGTCCACACATCTTCAAGTTGCCAAGGTTGAAAAACACTACACCAGATGGTACCTGTTGACCTCCAACGTAAAATAAATACTTTTAATTGATTTTAATGTATGTGCTCTATTTATATTTTGTAAAATATTTTAAAATGTTTATACTCTGTTACCTGTGGCATTGCATGGGAGCACAAGACAGCGACTCCCCCTGCCCCCAGTAGTTACTAACTCCTATTATAAGCGTTAAAGACCAACAAAGTTCTGCCTTTCTCTTGCCTGCTTTTCCAGCTGATGTCCAGCATTCAAGGATGTACTGGGTGTTTGAGGCTGGTTTTCCTTGAGATAAGTACAGTCCCATTTTAAGAAGCCTTTTGCATAGATTTGCAACAGCTTTAGGCTAATTCCTCCATCTTCCCTCAGCGGCCCCTGAAATGACATATTAAAAAAAATGATGTAAAACGGATGATAATCAGATGGATGAAGCAGCAAGAATTGGTTGCCAAAAACAATCTTGCATTCAGCAGAATAAGTAAAAGATGCAAAACCTACAAGGGAAAGGATGCTCGAAAGCCTTGGTACCGAAAAGATAGCAGAACGTGTTAAGCAATCTTCCCTGTGGGATGGAATTCCAAGAAGTGGCCTCAGAATGAAAAGCAGCTTTTCTGTAGGCACTATGGTTGTTTGGCTGATGGGAGAGAAGAAAGAGAGAGAGGACCTAGCCACAAGACCTGGACAGTCTTGTGCAATAAATAGAAGTTTGATTTTGTGACTGGAGTCTCCGTCAGAAACATGGAAAGTAATCTTTTTCTGACAGATACCTTCTGTTTACCATGATTTAACTCTAGCAAGCTTTATACCTCAAGAGAGAAGCTGTACGATTCTGTGTAGGCTCATGCATCCCACTAAACTGATATTTATTTAATCATGGCTTATTAAATAAAGTACAGTTCTCTGGGTTCATACGGCACATCAAATCAAAACTAGGGCTACCCAATCCAGGCTACAAATATCTAGATGACCACTAGATGGCATAGATTGTCCAAATGCACTCTTTGCTGTCACCTAATGGTTGTTCGGGTTTTTGTAGCCCAGATCTAGAGCTTAAAGAACCATGGTCCAGCTTATTAGCTGTACCTTTTTGTGGGAGGAGTCAGCAGCCACATGACTGCTGAACATAACGGGATGTTCTGAGGGCAAACCTCAGGATTTCTGGATACCTGCTGGTATTTCTAATTTCTGCATAGATGGTGCCATTTTGGCCATGTAAAGAACTCCAAGAATTGAGACTGTTAGTATTAGTAAATATGATGCAGACAAGGGCTTGGCCTTGCCTGTTGCAGAAATTGGGAAGTGTTCCAGGGACTATTTTTAGTTTAGTCTTAGTTTATTATTTATAGCTATTTTCCATTTAAATGTTCCCCAAAGCATTTACCAAAGAAAATAAACAAGCATCATTAAAAGCAAATGCTACTAATAAGACACCACTAGCATAACATCAAAGAAGCACTATTAAAATTATTTAGAGCATCATGGAATAGTGGGGCTATGGAAAGAAAGGCAGCTTGAATTTCAATAACTTGATAATCTGGTGAATCTGGTGAATTTCCAAGGGGAGCTCCACAGTCCTATGGCATCACAGAGCTGAACTACCTATGGCTTCCTTCCCCCTGATTTTACATTTGGATGGAGCAGGGAGCCATAGATAGCCGTGTGAAAAGTGGAACTGCCAACAGTAACCGAAATGGTATTTCTGGAAAGCTCAGGCATATCTTTTGGTGCATTTGGACATCAGCCCTGTTCTGTTATTGGTCTAAATGTAGTTCAGGCCTAAGCAGGATCACAACTGAAGTAAAGTAGTTGGTGACCTTTCTTTAAGGCAGTGTTTCGCAAACTTGGCAACTTTAAGATGTGTGGACTTCAACTCCCAGAATTCCCCCGCCAGCCATGCTGGCTGGGGGATTTTTTGCGTTGTAGTGCCCCCCACTTTAAGTTGGTAAATTTTAGAATGAAATGTTTTAAGGGTTTTTTTT